TATAATAACAATACATAATGTAGCACAATACTCATAAACTAAGAGCATCAACCCTAATTAACTCATCAATAAGAGTAAATGAATTTTTATTTTCAAAATTATTTTTCCCAAATCGAATTTTCAATTTCAATTGACCTATCATCGCACTATCAATAGTTCGCCCTCTAAAGAAAAAAATGTGTGCTCTAGCAGTGAAAGAATGACCATATTATTGCAGTGGTGAATCAAGGAGTGGCAAGGACTTTCTTAAGGAATATTATTATTTTTTATATTTTTTAATAATATGGTCCAACATGCATCTTGTCGGAAATTTTCCAATTTCCAACATATTTTAGGTCAGTAAATTAGCAATAAATAAATTAGGTGGGATTGCAACATGTTTACCAAATACCAACATTATACTTGTTGGTAATTTGGGTGAGATTGCAAATTGTTTTGGTTTTTCAATTCCCGCCTTGAGATCAGTCACCTATGTTACTTTGTCGGTAAAATAAATACCGACAAAACACACATAGGTACAGTAGACCATATATACTACACTCCAGCCCTCTACCCGGCTCATTTCTTCTTTCCTTCTTTTTCTTCTTCTTCTTCTTTTTCTTCTTCTTCTTCTTTTGTCTTCTCCTCCCTTATCTGTGGCTTCTCTTCTTTCTTCAGGTCATTAATGTTGCTTGTTTAGTTATTTATGTTTATAATTACATTATATTTATATGATTTTAGATTTATATCTTCTCAATCTCCTCTTTTTCTTTTTTTTTTTCTCCATATTTGATTGAATATTATTTTGTGTTATATCAAATCAATTTATTTGCAATTCTATTTTTTTTTCTAATTTTGTTTTTTAGGAAACATTAGGAGATAATCATTGGTAAGTAAATTTTATTTATGCAAATTAACACTAAATTTCATTTATATGTTGATTAGAGCCATTTTGGTTACAATTATAAATAAATACTAACCTAATTTATTTTTTTTATTTTTTTAGGAAATGGTGTTCTATAATTATTTATCTATTGAGGTAATGTTTAATTTTTTTGGATTATTTAGTTATATTTTTAGTTTATTGTATTTTTTAAAATAATGTTTTAATCATTAATTTAAATAAATAAATACAATAAATTTCTGTTTCTATTGTAAAATTTTCATATAATATTTATTTTATGTTAATGAATAGGAAATGATGTGTGCACACCTGGATCCAACACCCAGATGTGCACACATCATATAAAAAAAATGCCTATCACCCGATCTATCCTTTTTTTTTTTTTATGTGGGGGGTGCATACCAGGGTGTTGGATCCGGGTATGCACCAATCATTGTCCTAATGAATATTACGAATTATTTAGTATTTAACTGTAAATTAATTGAATTAAATAAAAGTATATATTAATTTCAATATTAATTCAAGAAACTTCTTTTTTTATTTTTGCATATTTATTTTTTCGATGTTATCTTTGTCAGTAAATGAAACTATTTTTTTGTAGATTAATTCAATAAGAATCCTTCACCAATGTTATGTTCGTCGGTGATTTGGAGAGAGGAATAAAGCCAAACAAATTTCCAGACGTGATTCTAGTCGGTAATTTACCAACATGGAATACCAGAAAAGGCTCTAGTATTATTGTTCCGGCTTAATATTAGAGAGGAATTTCTTGTCAGTAATTGGTTGTAGGTTTATTAACGTGACTTTAATCCACGTCGGTAAACCGATTACCGAGCCCACTTTCACCGACAAAAGCATTTCCGACGTGATTCAAGTGGGAAGGTTGTTTCACCGACATCATTCCCTTTGTTTCCTCAGTGATTTTTCGTTGGTGAAGTAATGAATTCTAGTAGTGATATATCCATGGGTCTCCTTTTCTGTTAAGGTGCCGCTCATGTTGGTGGTAAGCAGAGGCTGTGGGCA